TGAGAGTGAGGGGCCATGCCTTAGAGCAGTGCTTCCCAAACTTTTCGTTGGCGAGAGAAGCAACGCGAGTGTAGACAAGGCAGCGGGGAGAGTGGCAATGGCCAGTCCCGAAGCAAGTCCGCCCACAAGGGCTATCTTTAGAGGATGGAAACATGCAAGATGACTCTGGAGTGAGTCAGAGCAAGCCGCATTTAGCCGTCCTGCCTCCGTGAGATCCTGCTTGCTCGGATCTCGGCGCAGACACAGCCCTGGGCAGCGCTTCTCCCCGGGGCTGCTGGAGCACCAGGGCCCACCTCGCCGGAACAAGCCGCAAGACGCCGCCACCGCCGAGGGAGCAGGAGCAGCTCCTGGTGTGTCCCCGCTGGCCGGGGGCGGGAGCGGCCCTTCCGAGCCTGCGCCAGCAGCGCGCGGCACGTGGAGGCTCCGCCGCCCACTCTGCCCCGGGGACACGTGCGGGGCCGGCCGGCACTTACCAGAAACTGAAACATGGCGCCCGCCTCCCCTAGCCTTGCTTCTGCTCCTGTTCCTGGGGAAGTATTTCCCGGCCGCAGCAGCGCCTCTTCCGCCCGGCTACTGCTGACTCACCGGCCGGCGCCCGTCCGCCTGTCTGTCTGTGCGTACGTGGGCTGGCTCCGCCCCGAGGCCGCTGCTGCGGGGAGCGGGGTCCGCGCTTTCCTGCCGACCCAGGCACCAGCGGGGCCGCCTCACAGCGGGGCCGAGACGGCCGGGCTTGTGCACTTGCGGGAGTGTGCGCGCGCGTATGGGGTGTGTGCGCCCTTGGGGTGGGCACTTGTGTGTGTTTGTAGTGTGGGTGTACACTTGGGGTGCTTGTGAGGTGTGGGGGGTGTGCACTTGCATGGAAGAGTGTGCGCTTGTGAGGTGGGTGTGCACTAGCGATGTGGAAATTACGAGAGGATCACTGCTTGGCTAACAGAGCGCTTTACTTTATTTTACATGGCCGGGGGAGAAGAAGCAAGGGCGGCTAATTTTCTCCAGCTGCTAAGTCCAGACTCTGTTATATACTTGTGAGAAAAAGACACAGAGAAGTCGGCCCCTTAATACATTCTTGGCAGTCTGACAATAAATCACCCTGGAGTCCTGCTAGACTAAAGTGTTTTCTCTAGCTGTCTCCTGGTAAGTTTTATCTCAAGGCCCCTTTGTTTTTCGGCCTTTACTTATGCTCCTTATTATGGCTTAACTTTATTTTTGCTTGCTCCAGTACTTCTCATCACTAGTGTGGGGGTGTGGTGTGGTGTGGCATGTTGTGGGGGTGTGCTTGTGGGGGTCTGCATGCACTTGTGTGCGTGGTTATGTGCTGATGGGGGTGTGCTTGTGGGGTGTATGCATGCTAGTGAGGTTGTGTGCTTGTGCTGGGGGGGTGCTTGTGACGCATGGGGGGGTGTGTGCGCTTG